TTTTGTTACAAACTTGTACCATACCTCCCCTAAGAAATCCTGCCTGGGTTAAGTAACAGCTCTTAAATCACACAGGGGGATTGGCCAGCTAAACACACACACGACAACTGGTCAGGAGCCTGAGATGGGCAAGAATAACAACTCTCTCTCTCTCTCAGCACACACCAATCTGGATGTCTTCACTGCCCGTACACACCAATTTTCAGTAGGTCGTGCGTTGAAGTAACTGTGAGATCTCTACACCTGTCAAGTGTAGCTGAAATTTGGCCATAGGTACTGGAGCTAGTGGGAAGGAAGGAGCAGAACAACATTTCTAGAGAAAAATCACGGTGGGCACTGAAACACTTTCGCTGTATCTGAAGAAGTACACAAATGGATTTATTAAATTACAGCAGTACGCTAAATACGTATAAGATTTATATTTATTCAGTCAGAAATTCTAACTGCTTAATCTTTGAATCATGTATTAATTTCCTAGTCATCTTGCTTTACTAGCATGAAGCGCATTTGTGAAGAGCACTTGTTTCTTCCACCACAATAAATACTGTTGGACCTTTGCTGGCTGAAACCCAAGATCCTACAGACCTAACCGAGCTCAGCACGTCAGAAGATTTTCTGGACAGCACAGCAATAGATATTGAGAAAAATAACTGACCAAACAGTGATCGCAACATTCTGTTTCTTCAACCCTTGGCTTATACGACTTCCACAGTAAAATGTCAAAAGATTAACATCAACTTAGTAGGCTAAAGGCACAAACCACAGACACGGTTTAAGTTTTTCTCACACTGTTTGGCTAAAGGCACAAACCACAGACATGGTTTAAGTTTTTCTCACACTGTTGTAACAAACCATTTCTCTATTTCCTTTCTGCTACAGAACTGACGAATGCTTCAACGATCTTGGGAGGCAGAAGGGCAAAAGATGGCTACACAAATCCATACAGGTTTTATTGTTAAAAGGACAGACAGCACATTTCTTTAGTCTTGAGTCTTTCAAGGAATACCATGGATTAAATCGACATGTCTGAATAGTCTGTGGACCACTCTGACTTAGGAGGAGAGGGCTGGGGCCATTTAGTTGGATGGATTATGGCCGCGTACTCCGTTAGAACATCAGCACCCAGCTGGATCTCCACACTTACTTCTTACAAATAGTGATCAACACACACACATTTTACTCCTTCAGCTACCACCCCTCACACCAGAACTGTTTTCAGACCCAGCCATCTTTAAAATGTAAACATACAGCTGACAAACATTTACCTGCTGAAATTGAGGAATTTTTTCTGCTGTGTACCAGGCACTTGATGTGTTGCCTG